TTTTTCTATTTTGTCTGCTTGGACATCATGCTCTATTCTGGTAAGTGCAGCTCTGGAATTGAAGAGAAGGTGGGTGTGGCCCCCTGTGCTGTGTGGTGAGGCAGCCCCAGGGCTGAGGCCTTGAGACTGCAAGTTTTCAGGCTGCATGGATATGACGGGGATGGAGAGGTTGGTGGCTGTGCTGACGAGCGGTCTGACAGGTGCCAAGATTGTGGAGGAGTAGCAAGAAGGAGAATCCCGTGTGGAGGGAGCCTTGGCCTAAGCTGTCAGTTCCACTCTCAGCTCTGTTTACCCTGGAGCTGATAGGCCTGTCTGGCCATGCACCCTGTGCCTGGAGGGCTTCATGTTTACTAGGCTATTCTTAGAGACTCTGTGCTCTAGATTAAAGGACTGGGTTGCTAATGATGGGAGGGCAGGCACCAACAGCTGTTGGTTTACCTGACGACCTTGAATTGACTGCACGTGGGCAGCCCTCGGTGCWCAGTTCACCAGCAGGATCAGCTGGGGGGGGGGGCTGTTCTCCACACATGCATTTTAGAAAGGGCTGCACATATTGCTGCCAGTCTGGAAGCCTGGCTGGGAAGGTTGGGGAGAGGCCACACTAAGGTCCTCTTTGTGCTCAGGCCAGGAAAGGTCGGTTTAGACCCTGCTCTTGCCTGGTCTGGGCTGTGGAATTGCCTTGTGAACCTATAGCATCCGTGAGAGCAGGGACTCGGCAACACAGCGGGTGCAGGACTGTCGTTCTTGAAGTCCAAGGGATCCTCTGGCTCTTAGCAGTCAGAAAGGACTGTCCCCACAGTGGGCTCTGAGGCCCGCAGGACGAGCACCCCCACCCGCCCGCCACGCTCTGCTGCTGCTTTCCCTTCTAGGCTTTATCTATAGAACRTTTGAAGAATGTGTGGGTTTCATATGCCAAAATGAAGACAACAGAATTCTCAAGTTCCAGAGTGGAATCCTCCTGGGACTTTACTCCTGTGTTGCTATCTGCTAAGTGTCTTGGATGTCACTAAGTTTCTAGGGGGAAACGTCTCCCAGAAGAGCTCCAGGGAGTATTTCCAGAAGAAAGCCAAAGCCTGTGTAGCTTACACCCGAGTTGGCTGGAGGGYGTCACAGAGTATCCACCCGGAGACAGGGAGGGGTTGTCTAGTCCATCACCTCAACCAAGGACAGGGACGTGGCAGTCTCAGGTGTCCTGCAGTGAGCAGTTGCTACACACACTTCACCAGAGAAACCGGAAAGGGCAGGACCAGGGTGCCTACGTTATGTGCAAATCCTGGCCATTTGCTGTAAGGTACTTGAGCATCCACAGGTCCTGTGTGTGGGGAGAGGGGTCTTGGAACCAGGCCCCCAAGGGGAAGGAGGGGCGGCCACACTGCTTCTGAGGAGGGTGGAGCCTCCAAACCAGTCGTGAGTGGTGCTTGCCCACCTGAACCCACGCACATCAGAGCAGACAGAAACCACGTCAAAGAAGCCGGGACTGCAGGATATGGCACCCTCAGCAGCGGGCAGCCCTGGGACCTGCAGGCCTCTTCCCCCTGTGCAGAGAAGATGCACACCATGCCCAGGCCTGCTGCCCTGGCTCTCAAGACGAAGGACAGAGACAGGGACCCCGTGCACTTGCCTCATTCTCTCCCCAGACCACCAGCCAACTGCAGCACTCCTCGCCGGAGGAGTGAGGAAGCAGGCGTAACCTGGGGCTTCACCTGTGGAGGCCCTCACGTGGAAGGAGACGGGAGGAAACAAGACTCTCTGGTAGCCCACTCCC